TGTGATATTAAAAAGCTGATATGAATTTGTTAGTGAATAGGTTTATTTATAAAATAAATCAAACAGAAGATATGCTGCATGGTGAATACCCTTTTCACCTTCTTTTATTGGTTTTAATTAATTAAATTTTTTAGAAAATGTATAATCACCCAGGGGACATTATAAGGGCACTTAAGGTACCTCTGTAGCATATTTTTTTAAAGCTGTTTTTGGTTATATACGTCCTTGCTAATACTTATAAATGTGAGGGGGAGTAGGTAGAGCTTATTTAAAGGATGGTTAGCAGCTTGTCGGCATCCCCTGGTCCTCTTAACCCTCTTAAGGCCTTCAGCCAACAGCCTACTTGATGGAGGAGGTAGGGTCCTTTGTTTGGTCTCTAAATGATATGGCTCCTTTCCACCCACCATGAACATGAGTGAAGGTGATATGCTGGGTCACCTTTGGTTTCCATGGGGTCCAATAGATCTCACATTGTCAGAGACATACTCCTACAACATTCAGGACCAAATTCAAGTGACAATGCTCTAATACAGTGCACGCGAGGGAGAAATATTACTGTCTCTCTATTTGAGTGCCGGCCCTGCAAGCCCCACAACAGGAGAATGGGCTGGCCATTGAGGAAGATGTTTGATATCCCCACTGGCCATGCAACCCCAAAGCTGTGGTCTTAGAAGTCAGACATTTAGGGATAACTCATTTAAATCACTATGGTGGTGTTAACTTCCACCTAATAAATTGACCAGTAAACACAGTATCTATCAAGCCCCACAACAGGAGAATGGGCTGGCCATTGAGGAAGATGTTTGATATCCCCACTGGCCATGCAACCCCAAAGCTGTGGTCTTAGAAGTCAGACATTTAGGGATAACTCATTTAAATCACTATGGTGGTGTTAACTTCCACCTAATAAATTGACCAGTAAACACAGTATCTATCAAGCCCCACAACAGGAGAATGGGCTGGCCATTGAGGAAGATGTTTGATATCCCCACTGGCCATGCAACCCCAAAGCTGTGGTCTTAGAAGTCAGACATTTAGGGATAACTCATTTAAATCACTATGGTGGTGTTAACTTCCACCTAATAAATTGACCAGTAAACACAGTATCTATCACCATATAGCATTGGAAATAATATATACTGCTATTAAGATGTGTACAGTGCGGAGTGTGTTAAGTTAAGGACTATTGCATAATATATATATCCTTCAGGCCGGGATTATTCCACAGATACATTCTGTACAGAGGATGGAACAGCTCTCATCAATGTGAGTGGATATACTCGTACAGCAACACTATATCCTGTCCTGCTGTTTAGTTTTTGGTTTTCGTAATTAAAAGTGAAGCATGTACAGATAGCATTATCAGATACAATGTCCATGTCTCATATAATATAGCAGATCTTCCTTGGCTGCTAGACAGAAAACACAGACCAAGATACAACTAATGGTCAATGCCTTGGCCTTGTAGTACGGAAAGACCGTTCTTTAGAGGGAAGATAGGTAGGGCCAGCTGACGGCAGGGTCCCTCTCTCCAGTCTGAGTGCTATGGTATAACAAGCAGAGCATTAAGGAAATGGCCCTGAGGTATTGTAGCAAATTGAAACTCTAAAAAGCATAAGAATCCTTTGAGATCCTGTAAAGCTAGGATATTATATGTCAGAGCCAAGTGTCACTAATAATAACCTGTGTGAAGGTAGTGGGGACCGTGTAGGAGGGTACCCTACTTACAATAACTTACCTATAAATAAGTATGCAAGAAGTAAGTGGTGACAGCAGGCCACAGCTTTATTAAAACCAATAAAGATTATCAATATAACATTAACATAATATATCCAGTAAACGAACAGTGAATTTTCATCACTGGATCCTTGTCAATAGTCTACATTAACATGGGCGCTTGCCTCCCCTCTCGTCCTTACACCACAACTGGCCTTCCAATAATATTCATGCTAACTACTGGCCGGCCTTTTGGCTCAGTGGGCACGTCCTTTAGTACATACAGTATCTATCACCATATAATATTGGAAATAATATATACTGCTAAGATGTGTACAGTGCAGAGTGTGTTAAGGGAAGGACTATTGAAAAATACATATACCCAGGGCCGGACTGGCCCACCGGGATACCGGGAAACTTCCCGGTGGGCCGTCGGCACCTGGGGCTGGGCAGGCAGCTGGCTCACCTGCGGCCGCAGAGGGAGCACTTTTGGCGGCAGCAGGGGGAGCTGGCTGTTCTGTCTCTGCTCCCCCTCCCCAGCGCGCCGCTTAATGAGACTGGGGCCGGAATATGATGTCATATTCCGGACCCGGTCTCATTAAGCAGTGCGCTGGGGAGGGGGAGCAGAGACAGAACAGCCAGCTCTCCCTGAGGCCGCCTAAAGAGCTCCCCCATGCGGCTGCCAGAAGAGCTCCCCATGCCAGCACACAGGTAGCAATTATGTGTGTCAGTGTGAGTATATGTGTGTCTGTCTGTGTCATGGTGTGTGTGTGTCTGTCTGTGTCTGTCTGTGTCATGGTGTGCGTCTGTCTGTGTCTGTCATGGTGTGTGTGTCTGTGTCATGGTGTGTGCGTCTGTCTGTGTCATGCAATGTGTGTCTGTCATTGTGTGTGTGTCTGTCATGTAATGTGTGTCTGTGTCATGGTGTGTGTGTTTGTCATGGTGTGTGTGTGTCTGTCTGTGTCATGTAATGTGTGTCTGTGTCACGATCTCTCTATGTCGTGGTGTGTGTGTATGTGTGTCACAGTGTGTCTGTGTCTGGGTGTGTGTGTCTGTGTCACGGTCTGTCTGTGTTATGGTGTGTGTGTGTGTGTGTGTCTGTCATGGTATGTGTGTGTGTCTGTCATGGTATGTGTGTGTCATGGTGTGTCTGTCATGGTGGGTCTGTGTTTGTCTGTGTCACGGTTTGTGTGTGTGTTTCTGTCTGTGTCATGGTGTGTGTGTGTCTGTGTCATGGTGTGTGTCTGTCATGGTATGTGTGTGTGTGTGTATTTGTGTTTTTACTCACCTTTTTTTTTTCCCCACGTTGTGCTGGTCTCCCCTCGACTGGCCCTGCCTCTACGGCTGAGATCATCAAGATTGATGATCTCAGCCAATCCGCACTGATACAGGACCTCTAGTGACCGTCTGAGTGTCTGTCACTAGGAAGCAATGCAAACACTGCCTTTTCTCTAAAAAGTCAGTGTTTACATTGAAAAGCCTGCAGGGACAGGCAATAGACACCAGAGCCACTACATTAAGCTGTGTGTGTGTGCACGCCTGTTAGTGAGTGGGCTAGCTTGTGTGTGTGTGTGTGTGTGTGTGTGTGTGTGCCTACTACTGAGTGAGCTTGTGTTTTTATGTCAATGACCTTATGTATATCAGTGAGATTGTTTGTCTATGAGGCTGTGTATCAATCAGCTTGTGTCAGTGAGATTGTCTGTGTCTGCATGTGAGTATGCTTACTGTATAATTAAAAATTTTACTCTGAAAGGACCAATATTTTATATTGGAAAAAGCAATATATATATATATATATATATATATATATATATATATATATATATATACACACACATATCTCTAGGGTGGCAAGACATAGCCTTACATATTACATGCGACAATATATGGCGCAATGACTTATGGGGCTTACATAGATTTTTTTTCCAGGGCTGCTTTGGAATCCCCAGTCCGGACCTGCATATACCTTAAACCCGAGGCTAGGGAAGGGATCAGCACTGAACATTTTCCACTGGACCGCTAGTACAACCCTGATTGGCAAAGACCATCATCCGCCTGCTGTGACAAGAAAAGAAACTTAGCACACAAAAAAGAACACCATTCATAGAAACATAACAGAGAAGGGTGGGCGGAAAGCCGGATAATGGCTTCGGGACAGCTTCCCACCCATCCTCCCCTGTTATGTTTCTATGTATGGTGTTCTTTTTTGTGAAGATGGCTGGAGATAAAATAAATTGGCTCACCCTAAATATATGACCACTACCCTTAGCCTATAGCTCCTCCCACCACTTACAGGACTTCCCTTCCTTTAACTTTTCTACACCCACTCCCCCCCCACTCACACATGAATCCCCAGGGTTTGTTCTTCTGTAAATATGTAGATATGCTGTAGATATGCTAATGTGCTTTATGTAGGAACAATATTCAACAATATTTATTATAACATTACAGGCAAAATTTCACCTACCCAAAAACTAGTCCAATCACCACCTTTCTATACACACCGTGAACTAAGCAATCTTTGTGGAAAACCATCATATACAATGTAAGGTTTTTTACCTAATTTAAACTGTACACAGCTATTTTCTGTAATCCGCAAATGCTAGAATATTTTTTGTAGCTTGACTGATTGTGCTGGGTCAGAATACTATTGTATTCGTGAGCTGACCTACGTTCATACAGACAGTACACGGTCAATTGACCGTGTACACATGTGCGCTGTGGGGTTAACAGTGGAAGGGTTAATGCCGCACGCACTGCTGGTGGGTTGCAAGGGCATCAGCAATGGTCTCTGCGATGCCCTCATGGACATATAGTGCAGAGGTCTGCACGGATATTGCTCTGATTGGAGCGCTTGTCCGTGAGGGCACTGTAAAGAGGTAACAGCTGGTGCCAAAACGGCTGAAGAAAGAATTGTATTAGAGCGGTTTCCTGTTCCCCTCCTTTTCCTGTCAGCTGTTTGTCTTAGCTTTAGGTTTTATTAATAGAAGTGCAGCTATGGAGCACTTACTTGAAGAAATGAAAAGGAGGTGGTCCAGCAGTAGTGGTACTGAATGGCTCATGCAGTGTCTTTTGACTGCCCCTTCCTCCCAAGTTGATTCACGCTCACAGGAATTAACATAAATGGACCTTTTGGAACAATTTGGAGGAGGAAGAGGCTGCAAAAGGGGAAGACTCTGAGGAGGAGCCACAAATGCCCATAAGCCTGAGTGATAGAAGTACGCTTCAAGGAAGAAAGAAGAGAGTTTTAAATCAAGAGTGATTTATTCCCTTCCACCTATCAGATGAAGCAAGAAGACGAGGATTGCATGGAAAAGAAAGAAGAAATCCTGTAAGCCTTCTGGAACTTCGGCAAGTGCCGGTTATTGAAGACGGTGAACAAGCCGGTACCTCGTTTGCCGTGCCGTCAGAAGGAGAAGATAATTTGGCTGGTGAGTCATTTCCTGGGGTTTCTCAGCAGGCTAAGCTAGGAGAGGAGCTGGGGGTATTATTTCAGGCTTTACAGGGCAAGGTGGGTAGTGCAGCTTTACTCTGGGTTCAGGAGGATTTTGAGAAATTATCACAATCACCTATGCCTAGAAATAATACAGTTAGTTGACCTGGCAGGAATAGTATACCAGTTAACGAAGCTTGCTTAACCCCTTAAGGGCCAAACTTCTGGAATAAAAGGGAATCATGACATGTCACACATGTCATGTGTATTTAAGGGGTTAAAAGAAGCTTTAGCTTATGAAGCTTCTCCACTTGATTTTCATTTAGCAAATTCAGTCAAAGAAAAGATATGGAATGAAGAATATTTGGATATTCTTTCTTTGTTACCAGCGTCTAAGGATTTGTTAAAGCAAGAAAGAGAGGATGACAGGAAACGCCCGATAACTCGGTCTTTTAATAACTGGTTACAGGCCTTTTGTATTTTTGCTAGCATTTATTGTGAATGTCATTCTGATAAGGTTGGTGGACTTTTTCAACATCTAGAGTCAATACTGGAGGCTTATACAAATTTTGGTGGATTGTCTTGGTACAATATTGACGAAACATTTCATCAAAAACTATCTGTTCAAAAGAATTTGCGTTGGGGTATGAAGGACGTGGGCTCTTGGGTAAGTATTAAGCTACCAAGCAGCTTCCCACAGAGCCAAGTTAGACCTAACGTGTTGCAGTTGCGTCCTAAGGCTATTTGTTGGTCATTTAACGAGACGCAATGTAAATGGCCTAATTCGTGCAGATTTAAACATGAATGTGTGAATTGCGCTGGGAGTCATCCTTCCTTTCAGTGCTTTAAGAGACAAGGTGTTGTCAGGTAGCAGATTCCTAGGAGCGTGTACTCCAGTGAGAATACAAAATCTGCTCACCTATTTAAAATGTTATTCAAATCAGCAGGTAGAGCAGCTAATTAAAGAATGTTTTTTGTTTTTTTTTGGTTTCAAAATTCCTGTTTGTAGTTCATCAGTTCAGTTTGTTGAGAATCTCAGTTCAGTTAAGTTAAATTTAGGTGAAGTTAGAGAAAAGATTATGAAAGAAATCTCTTTAAGGAGAATTGAAGGCCCCTTTTCAGTTCCACCAGGAAAAAGCAGAAATTTTAAATAACTATTTTTCTTCAGTATATATTAATGAGGATCCTATGGCAAGAGATATGCAAATGATTGCTGCAAAAAACTTGCAAATAACTTGTGATTGGATAACTCGAGACAAGGTGCTACAGCTATTGAAGAAAATTAATGTAAATAAAGCAACGGGGCCTGACGGTATTCACCCACGAGTACTTAAGGAGCTAAGTGGGGAAATAAGTGAACCTCTGTATTTAATTTTTCAAGATTCTTTTGTTTCAGGTGTTGTACCAGAGGATTGGAGGAAGGCAGATTTTGTTCCTATATTTAAAAAGGGTTCAAAATCCTTGCCTGGAAATTATAGACCTGTGAGCTTAACTTCTGTAACTGGGAAAATATTTGAAGGGCTATTAAGGGATAATATTCAGGAATTCATTGGGAAGAACTTTGTTATTAGCAATAATCACCATGGTTTTATGAAACATAGGTCATATCAAACTAACCTAATTGCATTCTACGAAGAAGTAAGTAGAAGTATAGATCAGGGTGTTGCAGTGGATGTGATCTACTTGGATTTTGCCAAGGCATTTGATACGGTTCCTCACAATAGGTTAGTCTTCAAACTAAAAGAAATTGGTCTAGATGAATATTCTTGTTCTTGCGTAGAATATTGGCTTAAGGATAGAGTACAACGAGTTGTCATTAATGGTAAATTTTCAGTCTGGACAAAAGTGGTAAGTGGTGTCCCTCAGGGTTCTGTTTTGGGACCACTTCTATTTAACATATTTATAAATGATCTTGAAATAGGCATTGAAAGCCATGTATCAGTGTTTGCAGATGACACAAAACTTTGTAAAGTAATAAAAAGTGAGCAGGATATTGCTTTGCTGCATAGAAATTTGGATAGATTGGGGGACTGGGCACTAAAATGGCAGATGAAATTTAACATAGAGAAATGCAAGGTTATGCACTTCGGGGTTAAGAATGCACAAGCAACTTACACACTAAATGGTAGTGAATTAGGGATAACCACACACGAAAAGGATTTGGGAATTGTTATAGACAACAAATTAGGCAGCAATATGCAATGTCAATCTGCAGTTGCTAAGGCCAGTATGATTTTGTCATGTATAAATAGGGGCATTATTTCTCGGGATGAAAATATAATTTTGCCTCTATAAATCACTGGTAAGACTACACCTTGAATATGCTGTGCAATTTTGGGCGTCTGTTCTAAAGAAGGATATCATGGCACTGGAGTGGGTCCAGAGACGAGCTACAAAATTGATAAAAGGAATGGAGCATTTTAGTTATGAAGAAAGGTTAAAAAGATTAAATCTGTTTAGTTTGGAAAAACGTCGCCTTAGAGGGGATATGATAACTTTATACAAATATATTCGGGGCCAGTACAAACCTTTATCTGGAAATCTATTCATAAACAGGGCTATACATAGGACACGAGGTCACACATTTAGGCTGGAAGAAAGGAGATTTCATCTAAGGCAAAGAAAAGGTTTTTTTACAGTAAGAACAATAAGGATATGGAATTATCTGCCTGAAGAGATGGTTTTGTCAGAGTCCATACAGATGTTTAAACTGAAATTGGATAAATACTTACAAAAACATAACATACAGGGATATAATTTCTAATTAGTGGGGTAATAGCTGCTTGATCCAAGGAGACATCTGACTGCTATTTTGGGGTCAAGAACCTTCAGACCAGGTTTTTTGCCTTCTTTTGGATCAACAGCAACAACATTTGTGAGGAAGGCTGAACTTGATGGACGCAAGTCTCTTTTCAGCTATGCAACTATGTAACCTTTTGCATATTTTAGGGTGTCCCCGCTGTGCTTAGTTCCCAAGAAAGAGAAGGGTACCGTTAGACTAATTCACCATCTATCCTAACCCAAGGTGATTCTTTGAATGATTAGGTAGACACCATTATTTCAGTGTCATTCTCTTCTTTCAAAGATGCATTAAAATGGGTAAGGCATTGTGGGAAGAATGCTCTCATGGCAAACGTTGACATTGAGTCAGCTTTTAGATTACTCCCAATACATCCTGATTGGTTTGGGTCATTGGGTTTCCAATTTGAAGGAAAATTTTACTTTGATGCCTCTTGTTTTTACTTTGAAAGTTTTTCATGCTTTCTGGAATGGGTGCTTAAAAAGGTTTCAGGTTTACAATCGCCTATTCACTACTTAGATGATTTTCTTTTCATCCGGAAAGCTGGATCCTCTGACTGCCTTCAGCTATTGAATATTTTTATGTCTGTTGCTCAACAATTTGGCATTCCTTTGGCAAGGGTAAAAACGGTCTGGCCTAGTACTTGTCTGCAGCTAGTGGGGTTAAGGTCACCTGCCTATTTTAAAGGGAGGAGGGGTGGACTAGCTGAGTTTGGTGATTTATTTGTTTAAGTTCTGGCTAATAGGGTGGAACTCTAGCAATTCATGTGTTAAATCTCTGGGGGTTTAACCCCTTAAGGACCGAGGACGGTTCAGGACCGTCATCGGCATTTTTGCCTTGAGGACCGATGACGGTCCTGAACCATCCTAACGGTCAGAGCTACTTACCTGATCGCCGTCGTTCCCCCGGCGGCGATCAGCGTGGCTCCGGTTGTGGGGAGACTGCCTGCAGCCCAGACAGTCTCCCCACACTGATTAGGACCCCTGTGGCCATGTGATCGCTTAACACAGCGATCACATGGTCACAATAGGTGTCCATGTGTCTGCCTGCAGGGGGACTGTCTGTGCTGACAGGCAGTCTCCCTGCTAGTGTAAAATAAAAAATAAAATAAAGTTAATGTTAATAAAAAAAAATAATAATTATATATGTGTATATATGATATATAGACATATATTATATCTATATAATATATGTCTATATATCATATATATAATGCCATACTAAGTGTATTTTTATATTAATATGTACTTATATTAATATAAAAATACACTTATAATTAAATTACACACGTATATATATAATATATATAATAACTATATATATTGTATATATATATTAATATAAAATATAAATAATAAGTAATTTAAATTAAATAAATTTTTTTAAATAATAATAAAAAATTTAAAAAAAATTATATAGCTATATGAAATTTTATTCTAACTGTATTTTAAAATTAATATATATATATTTATATCAAAATACACTTAGAATGAATTTGTATATATATCTATGTATATAAAAATAAATAAAAATAATAAGAAATATACATACGTCCATATACAAAATTACATAAATAATTATATAAATATACACGTAGACTTCAAATATATAAATATGCATATATATTTAAATTCTACGTGCGTATTTATGTAATATTTTTACATAATTCAGTAATTTTATTGATTGCAATTTGAGGGACCTGCCTGCCAACCCAGGCCGAAATTCCAGAGAATTTAATTTGCTAGCACTGTATTTTACCCTGTAACGTTCTACGACACCCTAAAACCTGTACATGGGGGGTACTGTTTTACTCGGGAGACTTCGCTGAACACAAATATTAGTGATTCAAAACAGTAAAACATATCACAGTGATGATATTGTCAGTGAAAGTTACTTTTTTGCATTTTTCACACACAAACAGCACTTTTACTGATGATATAATTGTTGTGATACGTTTTCCAGTTTTTAAACACTAATATTTGTGTTCAGCGATGTCTCCCGAGTAAAACAGTACCCCCCATGTACAGGTTTTATAGCATTTTTGAAAGTTACAAGGTCAAATATATGGGTCAAATATTTTTACATTGAAAATGGCCAGGTTGGTTACGTTGCCTTTGAGAGCGTATGGTAGCCCAGGAATGAGAATTACCCCCATGATGGCATACCATTTGCAAAAGAAGACAACCCAAGGTATTGCAAATGGGGTATGTCCAGTCTTTTTTAGTAACCACTTGGTCACAAACACTGGCCAAAATTAGCGTTCAATTTAGTTTTTTTACTTTTTTCACACACAAACAAATATGAATGCTTACTTTGGCCAGTGTTTTCGACTAAGTGGCTACTAAAAAAGACTGGACATACCCCA